AATTGGAGGAGTTGAGATGGAACGTGAACTGATCACAAAGTGTCAACATGTTGCCAGTCGTGCATTGCGAGTAAGCTAATAATAATATATGAAAAATAGAGTAAGTGATACTGGTACTACGGAGAAGGGCCAGTAAGGTTCTAGTTGCTTATAGCTATGTGGTACTGCTAGCTATAATTGCACTCAATTATCTTTAGATTCCTATCTCCTTTATAACGGTAACTGATACGAGCACAGATAAAAAATATAACCAACAACAGAATGGAGGAACTCAAGGTGCAGACGTTCATGGACGAGCGATTATGGTCAGCCCACCATTTCGTTACCCTAAATGATATAAATTCGAAGTATAAATTTAATCTCTTTCAGGCGTGCTGTGAGAAGCTAATGATAATCGTACGTCCTATTCTCAAAGAGGAACCAGATTGGCGTAAAGCTGTGTTAAAAGCCTATAAGATGCGAGTGCCTCTGCAAGCGTCCGAACACATCGGGTGGGTGCCAAAAAATGGCGGCACATGAAGTTCGTTTAACCGAAAACATCGATTACGCTTCAGCCGAAAAACATTGTGACTGCAACGCTTCCATCTTTAGAAACCTGCACGAGAGCTACAGCCTGAAAGGTATCGTGAAAGCAGTATTCTAGTGAGAGCAACCAAAGAGCAATAATCCACCACTACTGAGCTCCTACCTGTTCGTTAGGTCCAGGAGACGCTAAACCCATCCGGGTTGCACTCACAGCTATTCCTCGTTTTATGTGATTCGAGGTTCTAAAACAGGAAGCATAAGAGTATGAGTTTGGAGCATCCAGCCCTGGTTTACTCCTCTTTGGGCAGTGCTACGCCTTCTGTTATAGTTTGTTTACAACGCTGGTGCCATTTGAATAAGAAATGACAAATGCAAGGCTTCCCTGGACCAATCTACAAATCATTGTTTATCCTGCCAGACGAGTCGGGTTTAGCCTTCGAGGCGCAGCAATGAGTGCTTACTACTACTCCGCTAAAGATAGAGTAAAGACTATCCGATATCGCTGATTCACCGGCCTTATTCTTGTGCATTTATCTTGGCACTATTCAACTATTACGACCCCAAAATCTCAAAATTTTATTTTTCGTCGAAACTTTGCCTATAGGGGTAATTCGATGCCCTGATTACGAATATGACATTCATTTTTGGCGCTGGCGCCATTTGGCGCCCCCTGATTACGGATATGTCATTCGTTTTTAGCATTTCCACCGTTCAACGCACATTTTCCATTCTCCTGGGTCCTCTCACTTGTACATAATACCTAGGACTGAGCCTAGAAGGAGGGAGGACTCCGGGGTGGGTGAACCAGTCAACATGTGGCAAACGTTAAAGCGTATAAGATCACAGGATAAGTGTTATTCACTTCGGAGCACTCCTCCTCAAAGGCTTAGTCCCGATCGCGAGGTGATCAGTGAGAGGGCGCAGACGAGCGGAAAACAGGCGCGCACAGGCGCTGGAAAAATGAATGTTATATTCGTGATCAGGACCCCAAATAACCCCTATGTGCAAGTTTACAGCGAATTTGGTGAAAACACCCTTGGCGCCAAATGGCGCCAGCGCCAAAAATGAATGTCATTTTCGTAATCAGGGCACCGAATTACCCCTATAGGCGAAGTTTCGACGAAAAATAAAATTTTGAGTTTTTGGGGTCGTAATAGTTGAATAGTGCCTTAATCTTTATTGAGCCAAGCGTTACAAAGCACTAACTTGTTGAAACGGTCGACTTCTTCGCGCAGCTCGTCGAAATCACTCCACTTCAAGCACTCTTTCCAGCACTCCAAAAGGGCGTCGTTGAGAATCGGTTCCTTCGATGGTCGTATTCCTCCGTTTTTATTGAACTTCATTTTCATTATCTGAATGGTGAGTGTCGTTCGAAAGGAGAGTAGGAAGATTGCAGTGATCGCACATAGGCATGAAACAAAGCACAAGGAGCGAGGATCGCCTGCGATTGGCAGACTGATGACGACAGCCAATCACAGACGGTCTTCGGAGACGACTTAAACAAATTACTCTTTTTCAGCCTGTGTCAAATCTTGCGTATACAGTGTTCCACTAGCGAATCGCGGGATATAAGCGTTGCACCAACGAATCGAGCTGTGTACCAGCAGATCGAACGAAGTACTCCCTCTCGTTTGCTCTTTGACCCTCGCCACTTTCCCGAG